TCGCTGCCCCCCACCCCCCCCCCCCCCCCCCCCCCACTTCTTTAGTGTTTGAGACTAAAAGGAACCTGCAGTGAGTTATCCAGGAATCAGGAACGCTCCCCCCACATGGCTCAGAGGTGTTCCCAGACTAGAAGCTATACATACAGCTATTTAAGGTTTAGTGCTCCACTTCACGTGTCGGAGAGAAGACATGTTGCAAGACATAAACCTGTCCCCACCCTGGCTGTAGTAGGCATTAAAATCCTCAAGATGCATGCATACCTTTGATGCAGCCAATGAACTTATAACCGATACCGAGCATTTGGGCTAGTACTTCTACTCCCAAATGCTCCGATATTGCAGCTTCCGGTCAGAGGGAGATTTCCCGCTGACCGGCAGTGCCGAGGGAGCATGGGGCCAGCTTCCTTTCCAATCAGGAAGCCAGGCGGTGGGTTATGACCCGCCACCCAGCTTCCAGATTAGCTAGGAAGCCAGCTTCACATGTTGGTAGGCAGCCTGGCTTCCTAACCAATCAGGAAGATGGGCGGAACATCATGACCCTCCTCCTGATTGGAAGCCAGGCTGCATAGGAACAGCCTGGCTTTCTAACCAATCAGGAAGCCAGGCGACACGTAATGACCCACCTCCTGGCTTGCTGATTGGAAGCCAGGCTGCCTAGGCACAAGTGAAGTCGGCTTCCTAGCCAATTAGGAAGCCAGTCATGACTTGCCGCCTGGCTTCCTGATTGGTTAGGAAGCCAGCTTCACATGTTGGTAGGCAGCCTGGCTTCCTAGCCAATCAGACTCACGTCCTGGCTGCCTGATTGGTCAGGAAACCAGGAAGTGAAGCCGGTGTACTTTCGCTAGAACACCGGCTTCACAGGCAAAAAGGAAGCCAGGCGACGGGTCATGATCTGCCGCCCGACTTCCTGATAATCGGGCACAAAAGAATTGGTACTCCTCGATTATACTGAAAAACTAGTATTGGTGCATCCTTAGTGTACACCCTACATATAGGAGTGCCAGGGATCAAGCACATGCATTGACCTATCAGACTCTGCTGCTGCATAGTTAAAGACAAGGAAATCATGTGACATGGATGTAGTCAATGACAGGACACTGGTACCCACCTGGGCATGCTTAGCTCTCAGCTTGTTGAGGATATTGGTGGCATCAAATCCGGCGTTGTCACAGAGTTGGCGAGGAATGATCTCAAGGGCTTTGGCGTAAGAACCAATAAGGAGCTGCAGCTTGCCGGGGATTGTCCTCGAGTAATCTCGCAGGTACTTGGACAGCTCCATCTCAATGGCTCCACCGCCGGCAACAACAGAGTCATTCTAGAAGGGACAAAGTTATGAGTTACAACCAAAATAACCCTCTGAGATCAGCTGCCTCCACTGCATACAGCCGATGGACGCAACATCAGATAATCACCTTGATGGCTCTGCGTACGATCATGATGGCGTCATGCAGAGATCGCTCCGTCTCCTCCATGAACTGCTCAGATCCGCCCCTCAGGATGATGGTGCAGGTCTTGGCTTTGGGGCAGCCAGTTAAGAAGTTATATCTGCAGACAAACAGAACCGGTGTGAGCCCATCGCACTCCTACAACAACAGCTGACCCGAGTCCTTCTGGGAAAGTTGCCCAGCGAGACTGAATCCAAATGGGGTACTCTAGTCACATGACCACCGCTCTCACCTTTCTCCTCCCACCTGGGCCTCCTCAAATAGCGCACAGTGACCCAGCACATCATCGGTCAGAGCACCCACGCTGGTCTGGATGGAACCTCCGCAGGCCTGGGAATAACAGGAGGCAGAATGAGACGCATGAATGGAAGAGTAGACATTACTCCGAGTCCGCATTTTATACAGACACACAGTACAATCAGCAATGTAGTCCAGACCAGAGGTAGCCAAACACGGCGCTCTGGCATCACGAAAAGAAAGCAAGGGTACTATTACTCATCATCAACAAAAGAACCTTGGACTGTAAATTGCTATATGGGTGGACTGATCTACATCTGACTAATCCGAAATAGTTCCGGCACCGCTGCGCCTGCACACAGAAAGACACAGGCGAGCATGGTCTGTCTTCATCGGCGGGGGGAGCAGGCTCCTGTACCACCACTGAAACCAATGACTTGAGGGGCTGTCGTCTCCTGGGGCCCACTATTCCAATGACAATGATTTGAAGGTCTATTCTCTCCTGGGGGCCACTACCACTAATGACAGGAAGGACTCTTGCCCTGGGGTTCACTATCCCACTGGCACCAATGATTTGAGGGGCAATAAAACACTTCTAGTATGTGATATGCAAGACGACATCGGGATACACAGATATTTTTTTTTTCCGGTACTCGCCGATACCAAATACTAGAAGTCCCATTCAGGAAGCCGGGCGGCATGTAAAGACTCACCACCAAGCTTCCCGATTAGCAGGGAAGCCGTCCACATGCTTCTCATCACCAGGTGACGAGGAAGCATGAAGCCGGCTTTCTGGCCAATCAGAAAGCCGGGCGTTGTGTAATGACGCGGCGCCTGGCTTCCCGATAGGCCCAGTAAATCGACTCCATGCTCGTTACGTCATGAGGCGACAAGGAAGCATGAAGCCGGCTTCCCGACCAATCAGAAAGCCAGGCGCCACATCATTACACAGCGCCCGGCTTTCTGATTGGCCAGAAAGCCGGCTTCATGCTTCCTCGTCACCTGGTGATGAGAAGCATGTGGACGGCTTCCCTGCTAATCGGGAAGCTTGGTGGTGAGTCTTTACATGCCGCCCGGCTTCCTGAATGGGACTTCCAGTATTTGGTCATGCTTCTCGTCACCTGGTGACGAGAAGCATGTGGACGGCTTCCCTGCTAAATCGGGAAGCCGGGTGGCGCCCGGCTTTCTGATTGGTCGGAAGCTGGAGAGCGTGTCATTACACGCTGCCCGGCCAATCGGGAAGCCGGGAAGCGTGTAATGACGTGTTGCCCGGCTTCCTGATACAGGAAGTATCGGGCTAGGCATCGGAGCATTTGGGCGAGTACGAATGCTATCTCTCTCTGCCCCTCTCTCTCTCTCTGCCCCTCTCTCTTTCTCTGCCCCAAATACTCGCCATCAGCACCGATACTAATATTGGTACATCCCTAATAATAATAATTATAAAAATATTAATAATAATAAAAATCACAACAGTATAATAAAAGTCAATAGTAATAAAAATTTAGTAAGAGTTATGCAACATGAATAAATCTAAGTGATAAATGACCAATTTCCTACCATCATGGTCCTCCTGAGGTCCTCTTCAAGAACCCGGCCGGCACAGAACAAGTCCCGGTCGGCGAAGTACTGTGTGGCAACATCCCCAATGGGAAGCTTGGACAGGACAACCTTGGCTCCGGACTTGTGGATCTTGTCGAGTTTGTCATAGAGGATGTTCCACTCGGCGTCTACAATAGCCTGATAGTCCTGGGAGACAACAAAAGAGAAGGATGTCAGGATGGAAAGAACGAACAGAAGATATTGGAGAGTTAAGCTACCCAATGGCTTCCATTACATCTCCATGCCACGCTGGTGAGCCCGCTGCTGCGATCCCTGGGTCTGCAGAGTTGCAGTGGCAATTATAAGGGGTCCCAGATTTTATAGAGTGGGCCAACCCATAGTAGGTGGGAGCAGAGCCAGGAACTACGGCAAGAATTTTCTGCTGGAGTCCACATGATATAAGAAGTCACAGAGTGACTACATTCCACCGATAACTATCATCTCATATCTGCATGGACGGATTCTCCTTGTGACGGTACAAGTTTATCCTTTCCCATGTAGGGTTCTCACCTCGACATTGCTGACCCGAACCTCTGCATTGTCCCTCTCTGCCTTCAGCTCCAGCTCCACATTAAGGAGAGCGATCTTAGGAAACTCGTACTTCTTGGGCTGCATTTCAAAGCCAGCATAGGAGAAGGTCTTCTTAAAGGCAACTCCTGCCACCAGATGGGAGTCCTGAACAGAGAGGGCCATTAGTAAAAGGTGACGCAGTTACCGAAATCGCATGAGGCGGCTGCGAGCCACGTAACCCACCTCTAGAGCGCCTCCCTGCACTTTCTTCATGCCAATCATCTTGAGCGGCAGCAGATCGTCCAACAAGGACACGGCATCCACCACCATCTTGGCAAAGAAGTCTTTCTTGAGTGCGACGAGTTTGGAGCTCAGGGCTGTGGCGGCGCATTTCTCCAGCAGGGGACGCTGTTGACTGATAAAAAAAAAACACCCAACATTAGAGCCAAAACATGAAAACCACACAAGGTCCCATTTCATAAGAGCAGCACGAGATACTCACTCTTTATTGTCTGTCTTCACGGTGATAGCGATCTCTTTGATTTTACTGACTGCCTGGAAGAGAATAGGAGAGATCAGTGAGGAACCAGGCTGGTGTACCTGCCGTATACTGGGAAAAAGTATCAGGAAATAAAATTAACTGAAAAGGAAGGTATGGCGATATTTCTTTAGGCTGGGTTCACACCTGGGCGTTCCTATAGGCGCGTTTTATGCACTTTTTATAGTCCAATGAAACGCACGTACGACGCTCGTTTTTTAACCTCCTTGGTGGTATGATTTTTTTCTCCTTTTTTATTTTAACTTTCAAACTTCCAGCCGGTTCCGCCTCCCTGCGACGCTCGCAAGGGACGGAACCCGGAAGCGCCGGAGGACACAGCAGGGATCGCGGACAAGGTAAGACCTACGTTGTATTCCCGAGTCTGGCTCGGGGTTACCGCTTTGTTAACCCCGAGCCACACTCGGGGATACCAATGGATACGCGGTGAAATCTCCCCCTACGCGCGAAAAAGAAGCTCAAGTACTTTTCGGCGCGTAGGGCGTTTTTCAGCGCAACAAATCGCGCTGAAATACGCCCAGGTGGGAACCATGCCCATAGGGATTGATTGGATTTTTACTTCTTGAGCGTTGATCAGCGCTGAAAAACGCCCAGGTGTGGACCCAGCCTTATAGTGTGTCCCCCATCATGGAATCCCCCAGGGGACCAAGTGTATGGGGAACTTGGCCCTGTTCTTAGTATGCTGGACTAGTGTGGTCAACAGTGTACGCTTGAGTGGCACTCGGTGGGGCCAGAGTAGGAATGCACACATACCGTTTTTTGTTCCGGTACTCACCAATACCGGAAGTCCCATTAACCACTTCCGGGCCACAACGTGTATATACACGGCGGCTCGCAAAAGTGGTTAAAACAAGAACGCTGCTGCAGCACCCCGTGTTCTTGGTATCGTTTTTAAACAGAGCCGGCAATGGCCGTTAGTTAATGTAAATGCGATCCGGCGTCTATACCGCCGCTGGATCGTTTGTACCGAGCGCTGCTGTCCCCTCCCCCAGGCACCGCTGTCCCCCTGCAACGATTGGACAGATTCAGCGGCTTCCAGTCGCTGATCTCTCCTTCGATCACTGGACTCAGAAGTGATGAATGACATCACTTCCGGTGTCACTAGTTACATTTGCTTCCCCAGCTTCTCCTGGCTCTGGGGTCCCTAGGTGACATTAGGGGTCTGGGGTCTAAGTAACATAAGAAAAAGGCAAAACAAAATGTAAACAAATTTAAAGCCCCCGCCCCCCACATGCAGAGACGCGTCAGTGCGGCTACATGCGAAAACGACAACTGTGCTACACGTTACATATCGCCGCAACGTCGGAAAGCAATAATTCTAGGCCCATCAATCACTGTTAACACTAAACTGATGCGCTGTAAAAGCTATTAAAGTGTCTCCTATGGGAATTATTTGGGTACTGAAGTTTTTTGCGGCTTCACGGGTGAACTCAATTTTAAGGCTTGACATGTTTGGTATCCATTTACCCGACGTGACCCCGTCTCTTATATTTTAACCAAACAATTGGGTATTATATTCTGTTTCTGTGCACTAAATTTTAAATTAGTTTATTTGATCCTAAAAATTCTGGTTCGATAAACATTTGCACAAATAAAGTGCAATATAAAAAATTACAACTAGCATCTTTTTATTCTACAGGATCTCTACCTTCAGAACATGTATCACTGCTTGGGGGGTCTGAAAAATTCAGATTTTATCATGTGTGTGCGCAAATGTAAGAAAATCACTCCGGACAGCAAGTGGTTAAGGACAAGTGGTTAAGGACAAGTGGTTAAGGAACCCGGGCGGCATGTAATGACTCACCGGCCTCGTCAGCAGGTGACGAGGGAGCATGGAGCTGGCTTTCTAGCCAATCAGGTAGCCGGAGGGGGGTAGGTAATGACTTCCCGACCAATAAGGAGCTGGGCGGAGAGTCATTACACGTCTCCAGATGAGGGAGCATGGCAGCTAATTAGGAAGCCTGGAGGCGGGTAATGACTTGACGCCTAGCTTCCTGGCCAATCAGGAGCTGTGCAGCGAGTCATTACACACTGCCCGGCTTCCTGATTGGCAGGGAAGCCGGCTCCCTCGTCACTTGGGACACATGCCAGCTTTACCAAAACACATTATTTTAGGGAAAAACTGACAGTCTGGGACACTTGCAATAAAAGACTACAGTCTGCGGTTCATTTACTGCTTGCATCACAAGGGAACTTATGGGAACTGTGCTGCCCTATTCACAAGACTGGAGAGTGACGGAGAATGGCAGGAAGCCGACTGGTTCGGTCACACAGAGAAATGTACAACTGTCACTTCTACCAATCTGGGCTGTGGTTGATGACATCATTCATCAACTGACGAGTGCATGTGACCTTCTTCTGACCTATAGACTTGTATGGGAATGCAAAACCCACCTGAGACCGTCACAGGACCCGACTGCTTTCTAATGAAATAATGAGGTTTCCACGCTTCCACAAAGTACAACCTTCATAGCTGGAAGGGGGACACACGTACAGTACCTACACCCTCATTAAAACCACAAGATCATCTCTGCTCTTCACTATGGTCTATAGGAGTCTTGAATGCCTTAGCACTAAATGTCACAATCAGAACTATAAGCTGCTTTTCCAGTTTTACAAGCCCAACAGCATCCCCCTGAATCAGTGCAGAAAACAGCCGGTGAAAGTGATCAGTAGACAACGACCGATCACTGATACACAGATTAAAGTGGTCCAGTGGCAGCACTGGGGGTCCCTGGTGAATCCCGGTCACTCTCTGCATGGAGTTTGCATGTTCTCCCTGTGCTGTAGCTGTAACTCGCGGTATACTGAGCTTAGGGTGACCGGAGGACGCTAGTTTGTGTCCTCCTGTTACCCTAAGGAGAACTATGGGGAAAAACACTGACCCCATAGTTCTCCTTTAAGGGCAGGGACTGATGTCAATGTGCACTATGTACTATATAATTACCAATAATAAAGAACGCTCTATAAAGCGATTCAATCTGTCAGTTTATTAAAGACGCATGTAGGAGGCACTGGAACTAAAGCTATTTGGCAGCGCAGTGCAATCTGAAGTCTATAACTTAGTGAGCAGTGACTGGCTGAGCTGCTCTGACACCATACAGGAGCCTTCAATGGAATCCGTGTGCTGAAGAAGCCAGCCTGTCCCAGCAATGGTTTAAATATGACCACCATGATGAGGATGTGTACAAGAAGATTACTGGGTCACAAAGGAAGGACAGGTGAAAAGGGTTCTCCAGTCATGGTGGCGGCTTACTACATGGAGTAATGCTAGCTGCCAGACCGTGCATGTACCCCCCAGGAAGGAGTGAAGAGCGCCAGCATGGCTGACAGGACAGGTACTTACTAGCTGTGTGGCGGTTCGGAAGGCCCGGATGATGATCTGTGGGTGGAGCCCCTCCTCCACGTACGACTTCACTTGCTTTAAGAACTCGGCAGCGAGCAGTGTGACGGACGTGGTTCCATCGCCGACCTGGGAACACAAAATGACAGACATCAGACACATGGTGGTGGGGCCACAACAATCACATTCACCTCTACAGTGCTCAGTAATACAACGTGACCCAAATACAAATACTCAATCTTCATTTACCGCTCACATCACAAGGGAACGTATCAGCTTCTCACATCCCAAAACCGCGCTGTGCTGCCCTATTCGCAACACTGGAAAGTGGCGGAGAATGGCAGGAAGCCGACTGGTCGGGTAATCCGGAGATAAAATGTACAACTGTCACTTCTACCAATAGGAGGCGATGGTCTCTCTGCCTCCTAATAATGCTATAAATCAGCGGTTCTCAACCTGTGCAACCTCAGGACCCATATTTGTCCTTCATGCGACCCAAGTCACTGTGCAATGGAACGCACAACATTGCGGTACAGTGTGGGCGATTGAACTGTGGGTGGGAGGTGCTTTCGGGATAGCATTCCAAGAACTGGAGGGGATCCTTAGCCTGGGGTCCAGTGTGGGCAGCTGTGCTGTGACAGAGCTCCATCAATATGTGCAATGCTGGTACAGCTCCCTTGAATGCCCTGTAGAGGTGCCGGGACCCAGAATGTGACGTCACTCCAGTCCAGGCTCCTCTACAGGACATGTGAGGGAGTTGAACATATGGATGGAGCTCCCTCGTGAGCCATAGCCCCATCCCATTCCACCACAAGCTGATACTCAGCACCGGGCAGCATATTTTAAATGGCTGCTTGGCACGAGAACCGACAGTGCTGCGAAAGGGGAGGCTGAGCAACCTCTCACAACGACCCACTGAACATGGGGTTGTGACCTACGTTTGGGTCACGACCCACCAGTTGAGAACCAAGGCTATAGAGCACTAAACCTCTGCCAAACAAGTGTGTACCTAGACATGACCCCAAAACCCACCCCTAGTCGTCCCCCCCCCTCCACCATTCATTGTTTTACCTGATCAATGAACGGAGCAATGTCTTCGGTGTCTCAGAGTACTGAAGGCAATGGATCAATATGGCTGCAAGGCACAGGAAGCTCAGACAGAGCGGCCTCCATGGCACAGGAAGCTCAGACAGAGCGGCCTCCATGGCACAGGAAGCTCAGACAGAGCGGCCTCCATGGCACAGGAAGCTCAGACAGAGCGGCCTCCATGGCACAGGAAGCTCAGACACCTGTACCCTTGTAGTTTACGGTCTCTCAGAAAGTTGTCCAAAAGCCTCTTGAATGATTCTAGATTAATTGCGGAAATTACCGCTTGAGGCAGTGAGTTCCAGACCCTAACCGCGTGAACTGAGAAGAACCCCCTTCGCCCCTTGTGTTTTAATTTTTTTTTTTCTACCAGTTTTAGGTGGTGTCCTCTAGTCTTTGTTACGGAATTAATCTCAAAGAGTTTGTTGCTAAGACTATGGAACATTTTGTACATGAAAATCATGTCCCCCCTTAATCTCCTTACTTCCAACGTAAACATGTTTACATTTAGTAGCCGTGTCTCATAGCTCTGGTCCTCCATCCCCTTTATGAGTTTGGTCGCCCTCCGCTGGACTTTCTCCAGTTCAAGGACATCCCCTCTCTGTACCGGTGCCCAAAACTGCACCGCATACTCCAGGTGGGGCCGAACCATTGATGTGTAAAGTGGCAAAATTATACACCTGTCCCTGCAAAACATTCCCTTATATTTTACAGGTTTCCCTTAGGGCCCATTCAGACCAGATGCAGTGCGTTTCCAGCCCGATTCTAGCCAGAACACATTGCGGCCGGCGCACTTTTTTGTGTGGCGGGCCATTGAAGTGAATGGCACGGTAACCACGCCCTCCGGCAGCAATGCGATCGGCCACAGGGATTGCAAGGCACATTATGCCTGCGGTCCGGTGCGAACAAGACAGTGCTTGCAGCATTTCGACCGGACTGCACCGCAGGCATAATGTGCCTTGCGATCCTGTACGGCTGATCGCATTGCGATGTGGGTGTGGCTACATTGCCATTCACTTCAATGGTCCACCACGCCCCACAACATAGTGAGCCGACCATTATGAGAGGCCGTGTGTTCTGACTAGAATCGGGCCGGAACGTACTGCATCTGGTGTGAACGGGCCCTAAAGGACACAAGAGAAGCAGCTGCCATACGTGTCCACAGGAAGAGGAGCAAACTCAAGTTACAACAAATGACTGAACTCCGCCTCTGATCTGCGACTCGCTCTTCTCTCTCTGTTACATTCATGAACATCCATCACGCGGTAATCTCAGACTGTCCATACCTCGGCGTCCTGTGACTTGGCGATATCCACCAGGGTCTTGGCGGCAGGATGTACCACGTCCAGGAGCTTCAGAATGGTGGCCCCGTCATTGGATATGGTGGCTTTTCCTAAAAGAGACACACGGGTGTAAACATGGCTGCTGCATAGGATACAAGTAACAGCTTTGATGGGACATTGCAACAAGCTCGCAGATATTTTTGGCCAATAGTAACTTGTTTTTTTTTTCCTTCTGGCTCTCGGGAGAGCGTCACACAAACATTTCCCTTTACTGGCGGGGAGATTAAAGAGAACATGTCACCATTCAGTGCAAAGCGGTAGGATCTCTTTTAAAGTGCAAGTCCCTCACTGGTCTCGACATCTTGATTGGCCGGAATGAAGTAACTTCTGGACACACACGCTCTTTCTGGCACCAAAATGTACCCCGAGCTGTGCATGTCACAGCAAATGTTTAGGAGTTCAAAAAGATATGACAGCCATAGTGAGGATGTGTACAGGAGGGATTACTGAAAAGAGAACTATGGGGTAACCTTTTTATCCTCATAGTTCTCTTCAGGGTCACAGGAGGACATATACTAACCTCCTCCTGTGACACAAAGCTCAGTATATAGCGGGTATATTGCCCACCATGTACTGAGAGCGCCGCAGCCGGGACGTATCCTGACAATACTGTTGAGATCCGCCCAGCTGTACCCGCCCACTCCCCTGTCCGTTCCTCCAGTCAGCGCTGGAGGATCGGAGCGGGCAATCCCTGCAGGGAGATGATCGAGAAGTGAGCGAGCGCCGGTATGTGTTCGCTCACTTCCGATCTACTGAGCCGACCCGTGACAGTCTCATTGTCACAGGTCGGCGAGAACTATGAGGTGAGTGAAAAGCACCCCCCCCCTCATAGGTCTCCTTTAGGCCCTGTTCACACCTTTACGTTTTGTCGCGCGTTCAACGCTCTATGAACGCTCTACAAAAACGTACAAACATGAAAATCCCATTGTTTCCTATGGGTCTGGTTCACACCTTTCCGTATTTCCGCCCGTCTGAACGCAATACAAAACGGCCTACGCTCAAACAAGTACATGTACTTCTTTGGGCCGTTTTTGTTTGGCGTTTCCATTGGGATACAGCCAAGGCCCCACCTACACAGCGCTCCCCCACCTACACAGCGCTCCCCCACTGGCCCCACCTACACAGCGCTCCACCGTGTTCCGTGACCACAAAAAACTAGTGCTTCTTATTGCGGAGCAGGTGACCTTTGATAAAAGGTAACTCTCTAGACCTAAACAGTGTCACATGACAGTGGGTGACCTCATAGCTCCATATCGCAGATAGTAAAAAGAACCCCAAAAATGTAGGTAATATACAGGGGTACGGGTAATATACAGGGGTACAGGTAATATACAGGGGTACAGGTAATATACAGGGGTACGGGTACTCCTAGAATGAGATCCTAATAGGTTGGACTTGATGGACTAATGTCTTTATTCAACCTCAAATACTATGTAACTATGTGGTATTTGCCAGTGATTGCATGCAGCAGCCTGTTCTTCCCTATGGGAGGACGCGGCTGTACGCACACCGGAGCGGGGGTCCGTACCCGGATGCAGGCAGGATGGATATGGTGTGAATATGACAGCTTACGGCCGCGTCCTCGGCCATCACCCGCAACACCGGGATTGGCCCGATATGGCCGTGCAGATCTGTACGGCCCGACTTTACGCTGTGTGAGCGAGGTCTAAAAGGAGCACGTGAAGAAAAGAGAGGTCTCACTCACGGGTGGAGAGGACGTTGAGTCGGCATTTCTCTTTTGAGTTCCGGCACCGAGACCTCCCGGCTATAGCTCAGGGGTCTGTTCCTGGCCCGCCTTGAAGAATTTGGCCAGCAGGACCCCCTTGTAATGGGTGAAAACCCGACAACTCAAGAGCAGGAATCCCACTGGTAGAGTCCAACAGGTAGAAGACCCGACTATAGACATGTACACCTCACTCACCTCGGTCATCTACAATGAGCTTGTCCATGCCGCGGGGGCCCAGGGTGGTGCGAACGGCTTCGGCGATCACCTGGCAGGCATTGATGTTGCTGAGTAGCTGCGGCACCCCCTGCGAGGTGTCCGTGCCCTCTTTCAGCAGGATAACAGGTGTGGACTGCAAGAGAAAGAGACGGGAATGAGGAAACCTTCACTGCCACCATTAGAAGTCACCTGATTGGGATGAACTCCCTCCACACTTTCCAGGGTCCCAGTGGAGCCGAATTTGGGGATAAATGCTGGTTAATAGGTAGAGGGATGAGCTGGAATACCATATTCCCGGCTTCTGGTGCCCTCCTCTTGTCTCCGGCCCTCGCTCTCCTCACACACAATGCGGGATTGTTGCTCCTGCGTTGTACGTGATGATTTCACAGTCCCACCACTGGCCAGAGCATTGAAGAGAAGGGTCTACAGGGGACCAATCACACAATGTGGTGGAGGTCTGCAAGAGTGGGGGGGGTAATGGAAGTCCTGCAGCTAAGGGCCTCTGACCAGCCCTGGACCATTTACATCCATGGACAGCAGTCCTGGTGCAGCAGAAGCCCCACCACGAGGGTCGTTCTTGTGTTTGTAGCTCTTCCCGAACACAAAAGGAAGCCCTATGTGGCCATATAAGGTAAATGACATCTCAGCTGCGGGCCATATAAGGTAAATGGCCCGCAGCTGATTGGGTAGCAGTGCCCCCAGTACTTCCTTGATGGGAGGAGCTCAGGTTTGGACTGAGTTTGGTCCCAATCTCACCTCATCCCCCGTGTGGAGCACCTCAAGTGAGGAGTCATGTAATGATAATTTGGTCCTAGACTGATCAGCAAAAATAATTTTTGAGGGGTGTGTCCTTTTTACTGATCAACAATAAAGTCTACAACCAAAATTTTTGACTCTTCACTTGGGGCGCTCCTCACAGGACACCGCCATCTGAGGAACCAGCTTCTCACCCAGGACCTTCACAAGGTCCCATCAGCAACCCATCGGAGAACCCAAAGGATGGAACTTTTACCAAGAAAAAAACCCGTCCAGAGCCGCCATTGAAGGAGCAGACTGAAGAGTAAAACTCTGCAGAGAAGAAACAATCCAAGATGGAATGTTCCATAACACCACCGGGGGGTCCATACATTGGCCAACACTGACACCCATAGATAATAGAACCCACCGCACAGCTTCACTGGTGACTTCCCGCAGTCAGTGCAGGGACCCTTCAAATATATATATATATGGCACACACACCCCTACATCTGGGTGCAGTGGTCTCCCCCATATCTACTATCTGCATCCCAGATCTACATAGAATGGTCTCTACCACCTCCTCCAAAAAGGTCTAGTCCACCTAGTGCAGGAGTGACAGGGCAACCCCAGATCTACATAGAGTGGCTTCATCCACCTAGTGCAAGAGTCAAAAGTCACCCCCAGATATGTATACAGTGGTCTCTTCCACCTAGTGCAAGTCACAGGGCACCCCAAGATCTGCATACAGTGGTCTCTTCCACATGGTACTGGAGGCACCCCCAGATTTGCATAAGTGGTCTAGTCCACCTAGTGCAAATCAAAGGGCACCCCAAGATCTGCATACAGTGGTCTCTTCCACCTGGTACTGGAGGCACCCCCAGATTTGCATAGGTGGTCTAGTGCAAGAGTCAAAAGACACCCCCAGATATGTATACAGTTGTCTCTTCCACCTAGTGCAAGTCACCCCAAGATCTGCATACAGTGGCCTCTTCAACCCGGTACAGGAGGCACCCCCATATTCGCATAAGTGGTCTAGTCCACCTAGTGCAAGAGTCACAAAGACGCCCTCACATCTCAACACAGTGGTCTCTTCCACCTAGTGCAGAAGTCACAGAGCCGCCCCATATCTGCATACAGAGGTCCCTGCCACACAGTGCACGAGTCACAGGGCACCCCCAAATCTACATACAGTGGGGTCTTTCATTCTCTCTCAGGCCCGCTATGCCAGCTGACCACGTGACCCCCCGCCCCTCTCCCTGTTCTCCGGGGTGCATGGGGGTACACGGAGATACTGGCCGACTGATATCTGAATGACCGACACCCTGGGAGCCCGGGCTGTGGACGGAGCAACACCCGGCCCCGATCCCCGCTGTCCCCAGGGAGGATGGCGGAGGATTGTCCCACTCACCATCATCTTGTCACTGCGTTCAGGAACCCGACCGGCCTTACAGTTCCCACAATGCAGCGGGACACAGGAACCTTCCGGAACCTTCCAACCGTCAACTCACTCTAGGCGGATCCCTCCACTGTCACTATGGAGACCGTAGCCTGCGGGTCACGCCTCCGTTCCGTAACTGCGCGGCTGATTGGCCGCTGAGCTTTTTGGTGACTTTCCATTGGTCGGAGCTTTTAACACCGGACGTGAACGTTACCATAGAGACCACAGCCTGCGTTCCATGCCTCGCTCTCGGTGATTGGCCTCTAGATTTCATGCCTCCTTTAACTATTTAATACCGTGACACTGAAGCTACTGAGCGCCATCTTGCTACCTCCGTGCTGTCAGGTGTCTTTAAACTAGGAAGCCCGGTGAAAAGAACACCGGCATACCATCATCACCTCTGTACCCAACAATCACTCATTGACCCGGAGTAAGGTGTAGAAAGTGTGATTACCGCCCACTAAGAAGATTACGGTTATTACCTTCCATTAGTAAGATTACGGCAGCATCTGAATGACATTTAAATGCTCCAATCAGGTTTGGAGAGCTCTAGACCAATAGAAGAAAGGGTGGGTGTGTCCTGACCCATCTGGACTGTGATACAACTGAGAAGGGAGACTACTGATGTACCCGCACTACGGGAAGACATGGGGGACCACCTGACCCTGCTACTGCTCTCCCTTCCCCTGCTGGTCAATGGTTAGTATAACAGCTGGAGGCTGGGTGGGGGCTGTGCGACACTGGGTGGTGTAGTGTTAGGGTAACAGCTGGGGACATGGGGTGCTGCCTGAGCCTTCTAGTGCTCTCATTCCCCCTGCTGGTTAGTGCGTAGTATAACACATGGGGACCACCTGACCCTGAGCCTTCTAGTGCTCTCACTCCCCCTGCTGGTCAGTGTATAGTATAACACATGGGACCACCTGACCCTGAGCCTACCGGGGGGGGGGGCTGCCTGACTCTGGATAGTTAGGGTATCAGCTGCGGACATGGGGTGCTGCCTGACTTTAATGCTGGTCATTGGTTGGTATAACAGCTGGGGACATGGGGTGCTGCCTGTCTTTGTTAGTCATCTCACTCCCCCTGCTGGTCAATGTATAACACATGGGGGACCACCTGACCCTGGATGGTTAGAGCAGCCTTGGTCTACCAGGATCCCTTCAGAGGTTTGTAGGAGTTCATTGAGCAGCGGCAGGTTGATCCCTCACCTGATGGTGCCCGTGTATTATAGTTCTAGGTCTGGTGTCACTCAGCTGAGCGGACAATGTGGGACCAGTGAAGTCTCCGCTCTCGACTCTTTAAAAGTTGACCACTAACAGCAATGATCTTTTTAGTTATCTGTAAGGGGTTGAGGGGCATTTCTCCAATTGAGCCCCATGGTAAGGGGCATTCTTACCACTGACCATCAATGTGAAGGGCTTCTAATATATCTAGACAGATGACCACCAACATAAGTTGGGCCCTACTCCCACTGGTGACCATTGTAAAGGGCGGGCCTTTTTTCACTGGTGGCCAACGTGAGGTGGGGGCATTCTTTCACTGGTGGCCAATGTGAGGTGGGGGCCTTCTTTCACTGGTGGCCAATGTGGGGAGGGGGCCTTCTTTCCCTGGTGGCCAATGTGAGGAGGGGGCCTTTTCTCACTGGTGGCCACCGTCATGAGGGGCCTTTTTCTCACTGGTGGCCAACGTCATGAGGGGCCTTTTTTCACTGGTGGCCAACGTCATGAGGGGCCTTTTTCTCACTGGTGGCCAATGTCATGAGGGGCCTTTTTCTCACTGGTGGCCAACGTGAGGAGGGGGCCTTTTTCTCACTGGTGGCCAACGTCATGAGGGGCCTTCTTTCACCGGTGGCCAACGCGAGGAGGGGGCCTTCTTTCACCGGTGGCCAATGTGAGGAGGGGGCCTTCTTTCACCGGTGGCCAATGTGAGGAGGGGGCCTTCTTTCACCGGTGGCCAATGTGAGGAGGGGGCCTTCTTTCACCGGTGGCCAATGTGAGGAGGGGGCCTTCTTTCACCGGTGGCCAATGTGAGGAGGGGGCCTTCTTTCACCGGTGGCCAATGTGAGGAGGGGGCCTTCTTTCACCGGTGGCCAATGTGAGGAGGGGGCCTTCTTTCACCGGTGGCCAATGTGAGGAGGGGGCCTTCTTTCACCGGTGGCCAATGTGAGGAGGGGGCCTTCTTTCACCGGTGGCCAATGTGAGGAGGGGGCCTTCTTTCACCGGTGGCCAATGTGAGGAGGGGGCCTTCTTTCACCGGTGGCCAATGTGAGGAGGGGGCCTTCTTTCACCGGTGGCCAATGTGAGGAGGGGGCCTTCTTTCACCGGTGGCCAATGTGAGGAGGGGGCCTTCTTTCACCGGTGGCCAATGTGAGGAGGGGGCCTTCTTTCACCGGTGGCCAATGTGAGGAGGGGGCCTTCTTTCACCGGTGGCCAATGTGAGGAGGGGGCCTTCTTTCACCGGTGGCCAATGTGAGGAGGGGGCCTTCTTTCACCGGTGGCCAATGTGAGGAGGGGGCCTTCTTTCACCGGTGGCCAATGTGAGGAGGGGGCCTTCTTTCACCGGTGGCCAATGTGAGGAGGGGGCCTTCTTTCACCGGTGGCCAATGTGAGGAGGGGGCCTTCTTTCACCGGTGGCCAATGTGAGGAGGGGGCCTTCTTTCACCGGTGGCCAATGTGAGGAGGGGGCCTTCTTTCACCGGTGGCCAATGTGAGGAGGGGGCCTTCTTTCACCGGTGGCCAATGTGAGGAGGGGGCCTTCTTTCACCGGTGGCCAATGTGAGGAGGGGGCCTTCTTTCACCGGTGGCCAATGTGAGGAGGGGGCCTTCTTTCACCGGTGGCCAATGTGAGGAGGGGGCCTTCTTTCACCGGTGGCCAATGTGAGGAGGGGGCCTTCTTTCACCGGTGGCCAATGTGAGGAGGGGGCCTTCTTTCACCGGTGGCCAATGTGAGGAGGGGGCCTTCTTTCACCGGTGGCCAATGTGAGGAGGGGGCCTTCTTTCACCGGTGGCCAATGTGAGGAGGGGGCCTTCTTTCACCGGTGGCCAATGTGAGGAGGGGGCCTTCTTTCACCGGTGGCCAATGTGAGGAGGGGGCCTTCTTTCACTGGTGGCCAACGTAAAGAAGAAGGAGGGGGGTTTCTTTCACTAAGAACAAATGCAAGGGGCCCATCTGCATTGACCACCAACGTAAGAGGCCACCTCTCCTGCTGATCACACTGATATACTGGGAGTTGTAGATCTACTTTTTAGCAGGGGTTCACCAAGGTCTGAACTTTATTGCAAGGGTTCCTGGGGGATAAAAGTTTATATATGGGGCAATGCCTGACCCTGTTGCTTCTCCCACTGCCGATTGCTGCTATATGGTTAGTATGATGATAGGAACCTGGGGTACTGCCTGACTCTGCTATATGGTTAGTATGATGATAGGAACCTGGGGTACTGCCTGACTCTGCTATATGGTTAGTATGATGATAGGAACCTGGGGTACTGCCTGACTCTGCTATATGGTTAGTATGATGATAGGAACCTGGGGTACTGCCTGACTCTGCTATATGGTTAGTATGATGATAGGAACCTGGGGTACTGCCTGACTCTGCTATATGGTTAGTATGATGATAGGAACCTGGGGTACTGCCTGACTCTGCTATATGGTTAGTATGATGATAGGAACCTGGGGTACTGCCTGACTCTGCTATATGGTTAGTATGATGATAGGAACCTGGGGTACTGCCTGACTCTGCTATATGGTTAGTATGATGATAGGAACCTGGGGTACTGCCTGACTCTGCTATATGGTTAGTATGATGATAGGAACCTGGGGTACTGCCTGACTCTGCTATATGGTTAGTATGATGATAGGAACCTGGGGTACTGCCTGACTCTGCTATATGGTTAGTATGATGATAGGAACCTGGGGTACTGCCTGACTCTGCTATATGGTTAGTATGATGATAGGAACCTGGGGTACTGCCTGACTCTGCTATATGGTTAGTATGATGATAGGAACCTGGGGTACTGCCTGACTCTGCTATATGGTTAGTATGATGATAGGAACCTGGGGTACTGCCTGACTCTGCTATATGGTTAGTATGATGATAGGAACCTGGGGTACTGCCTGACTCTGCTATATGGTTAGTATGATGATAGGAACCTGGGGTACTGCCTGACTCTGCTATATGGTTAGTATGATGATAGGAACCTGGGGTACTGCCTGACTCTGCTATATGGTTAGTATGATGATAGGAACCTGGGGTACTGCCTGACTCTGCTATATGGTTAGTATGATGATAGGAACCTGGGGTACTGCCTGACTCTGCTATATGGTTAGTATGATGATAGGAACCTGGGGTACTGCCTGACTCTGCTATATGGTTAGTATGATGATAGGAACCTGGGGTACTGCCTGACTCTGCTATATGGTTAGTATGATGATAGGAACCTGGGGTACTGCCTGACTCTGCTATATGGTTAGTATGATGATAGGAACCTGGGGTACTGCCTGACTCTGCTATATGGTTAGTATGATGATAGGAACCTGGGGTACTGCCTGACTCTGCTATATGGTTAGTATGATGATAGGAACCTGGGGTACTGCCTGACTCTGCTATATGGTTAGTATGATGATAGGAACCTGGGGTACTGCCTGACTCTGCTATATGGTTAGTATGATGATAGGAACCTGGGGTACTGCCTGACTCTGCTATATGGTTAGTATGATGATAGGAACCTGGGGTACTGCCTGACTCTGCTATATGGTTAGTATGATGATAGGAACCTGGGGTACTGCCTGACTCTGCTATATGGTTAGTATGATGATAGGAACCTGGGGTACTGCCTGACTCTGCTATATGGTTAGTATGATGATAGGAACCTGGGGTACTGCCTGACTCTGCTATATGGTTAGTATGATGATAGGAACCTGGGGTACTGCCTGACTCTGCTATATGGTTAGTATGATGATAGGAACCTGGGGTACTGCCTGACTCTGCTATATGGTTAGTATGATGATAGGAACCTGGGGTACTGCCTGACTCTGCTATATGGTTAGTATGATGATAGGAACCTGGGGTACTGCCTGACTCTGCTATATGGTTAGTATGATGATAGGAACCTGGGGTACTGCCTGACTCTGCTATATGGTTAGTATAATGATAGGAACCTGGGGTACTGCCTGACTCTGCTATATGGTTAGTATGATGATAGGAACCCGGGGTACTGCCTGACTCTGCTATATGGTTAGTATAATGATAGGAACCTGGGGTACTGCCTGACTCTGCTATATGGTTAGTATGATGATAGGAACCCGGGGTACTGCCTGACTCTGCTATATGGTTAGTATAATGATAGGAACCTGGGGTACTGCCTGACTCTGCTATATGGTTAGTATGATGATAGGAACCCGGGGTACTGCCTGACTCTGCTATATGGTTAGTATAATGATAGGAACCTGGGGTACTGCCTGACTCTGCTATATGGTTAGTATGATGATAGGAACCCGGGGTACTGCCTGACTCTGCTATATGGTTAGTATGATGATAGGAACCCGGGGTACTGCCTGATTGCTGCTGCTCCTCTCACTTTTCCTTCCGGTCTATGGTTAGTATACAGCAGGAGACACGGAGGGGGGCTGCCTGTCCCTGTATAAATAGGGTCACAGCTGGAACTGGTGCTGCCTAAGCACGTTGCTTCTCTCACTCCCCCTGCTGGACAATGCTTGGTATAACAGCTGGAGGCACAGAGGAGGCTGCCTCACCCTGTGTGGTTAGGAAATATGGGATGCTGCATGTCCATGCTACTCTCCTCACAATGATAGAGAATGCCTAAGCAGGGCCGGTGCTAGACTATTTTGCGCCCAAGGCAAGCCCACCTACTTGCACCTCCAATCCCCCTCCCCGGCACGGCCCCATTCTCCTGCCGGCTACCTTCTGCAGGTGACGGGTGGATGTAAGCAGTCGGGAGCAATATTGGCCATTTTAATTAGAAATAGCCCATAGCAGACTGGCTCTCGAAACCCCACCCACTGAGCAGAGGAGCGGACCCGAGAGGGAAAGTTGTCTCTAAGTTCTGCTCTTCTGCTCAGTGGGCGGGTGCAATACCCAGCCTGCTATTGGCTTTTGCAATTTGAAATAGATGGGGGGGTGAGTGGTCGAGGCTGCGCCCTAGGTGGCTGCCTAGTTTGTCTAGTGGCACCACCGGCCCTGTGCCTAAGGTACAACTGTAGACTGGGGGTACAGCCCGCCATTGCTGCTGCTCTCATTCCTTCTGCTGATAGGTGGTCATCCCCTTGTCCTTGTACATTGGTGCAATAGCAGTAAATGTGTAGTGCCGGCCATCCATGCTGCTGCTCCTCAGACTCCACCATGAGATGAGCCCGGGGTCATTATGGGATGTTTCACTCTCTATGTACCATGATCTGATTGCTGACGCCTCTTCTGTCCGCAGGTATCCGCTTCCAGGAATATTTATACTTCCAAGTGCTGAGTCCGGGGGACATCCGTTACATATTCACCGCCACCCCAGCCAAGGACTTCGGAGGAGTGTTTGTAAGTCGGGGCTTTTGCACACAGGCGTTATGTACCGCGTTGTGTCATGTTCACCCGACCCAAAGAGGAAGACTCGGATCTGAAGTCCAGAAGTGTTGTAGGTGGTTGGGCCCAGGAGAGGTCAGGTGTTTAGCAGGCCTGCCATAGACCTGTAGAGTGTCCCCAGGACGGCAGCTGTAGCATTGGGGTGATCTGACCGACTGCAGGAGAATAGCCGCATTCTCAGTGATGTCACCGGTCTCTAGTGATAGGCTGCATTCTCAGTGATGTCACCGGTCTCTAGTGATAGGCTGCATTCTCAGTGATGTCACCGGTCTCTAGTGATAGGCTGCATTCTCAGTGATGTCACCGGTCTCTAGTGATAGGCTGCATTCTCAGTGATGTCACCGGTCTCTAGTGATAGGCTGCATTCTCAGTGATGTCACCGGTCTCTAGTGATAGGCTGCATTCTCAGTGATGTCACCGCTCTCTAGTGATGGGATAGGCTGCATACTCAGTGATGTCACCGCTCTCTAGTGATGGGATAGGCTGCATTCTCAGTGATGTCACCGCTCTCTAGTGATGGGATAGGCTGCATACTCAGTGATGTCACCGCTCTCTAGTGAAGGGATAGTCTACATTCTCAGTGATGTCACCGCTCTCTAGTGAAGGGATAGGCTGCATTCTCAGTGATGTCACCGCTCTTTAGTGATGGGATAGGCTGCATTCTCGGTGATGTCACCGCTCTCTAGTGATGGGATAGGCTGCATTCTCAGTGATGTCACCGCTCTTTAGTGATGGGATAGGCTGCATTCTTGGTGATGTCACAGATCATAGTTAATTAAAATTTTTAATGATTTTGTTACTTTATTACTATTTTGTTGTTGCTTTGTGCCTCCAGTCTGATGGCGGGTGGGGTAGTGTGTAAATATAGGAGGGCATTGGCGCTGATGTACTGACTGTAACTCATGCAGTGACCTGTAGTATATATTCCCGCAGAGTCAGCGGTATGACCAGATCCACTTGGTCCCGGCGGATCCTCCGGAGGCGTGCGGAGAACTCAATAATGGGGTGTTCATCCAAGGCCAGATCGCTCTGGTGGAGAGGGGGTGAGTGTTGGGCAGCAGCCACCCCATGTGATGTATCAATCCGCAGAGCTGCGACCACCGCTAGACGTTTAGAAGGTTAACCGAAAACGTATTAACATATTAAACAGAAGCGTTGCCCTGACATCCTTTTATCTTTACACGTTTCCCGTATCCATGGAAACAGAATGATTAATGGGGAATGTGAAATCTCTTGATTGCACAGTTGGGTTCTGGAGACCCGGCGTTTAACCCTTGCTTCTTCCTCGGGGACACGGTGACCGCAATCAGCCAGACAAATGTCACGCATGACACAGAGGCTGCTTGTCGGCGTCACTCGTACGCTACGCGCGCATCATACGTCATTGTGACATCACAGAAGCCCCCGTAGGGTTTGGCTATGCATTGAACTTGGTATAGGGTTATTTTTGTTATAGGTCACAGGACTCTAGGCAACTTAAGGTTTAGCCCTTGAAGTGGGGCTACCCCGGCACTGTAAGGGTTAAGTGCACATTTTGGTCTAGGGTCTGCAATAACAGAGTTATACTCGCCCGATCCTCAGTCCTTTCTGAATGCTAGACCGGTCCCTGAAGACCCTCTCCTTCTCTGCTCCAACGGCGGAAGGTCCCTCATATGCTAAATTGAGGTCTCGTACAAAAGTTGGCTGCAGTCTCCTAACCTCTCACATACACTTTTTGGCTGCATTGCTCCATTATCATTTTTATTTGGCCGGTTGCGATGCAGCTTTTGCCTTCCAGCGATCCGGGCCTCCTGGCAACCAATCCGCTTTGCTGGTCCAGGGTTGGATAGGGATACGCTGGTTGGTTAGTTGGACGGAAGCATTGACTGTGACCTCAGATACAAGTCCTTGGCCTTGTGTACCATGCACGTTAGATGTGCCACCCGGCAATGCTGCTCGAAGGTGAAAACTAAAAGTGATCTACCGTGTTTCCCCGAAAGTAAGACCTACACCGATAGTAAGACCTAGTGCGGTGGTAGGTCTCATATTACAGAAATCCCTGATAGCGCTAGGTCTTATTTTTGGGGTAGCTGCACCGTATAATTACATTTTACATGTCACGGCCGCAACTCCCTCCTTCCTGCCCCCCCCCCC